AATACACACTGTCCGGATTCATGGTTCTATATATTGAGTTGGTAATGGAAGATCTACTGCAAAGTACTAACCTAAAATGTGATGATAATGGAAATATTAGATGAATCCAGATGTCCCTGATCTTACAGGTGGATGTGTGTGGGCAGACAACTGTGCCCATGCTGAGCTCCACTGACTGCAGTGGGGCTCTGTTGGATCTTTTTGCAGAATCAGGGCCTATAAGCCCTGGGACTATTCAGCATTAACAACGATTGTGGAATTACATGAGTTATATCTGGTTTCAATATTGATTTAGAGCCTAAGAGTGCACAATCCTGAAATCTAATTATAATAGGACTCATAGTAATCCTGACACTAAACAATTTAGCAACTAAGCAGTAAAAGGTAAAAGTATGGATAGATTTTCTTTTAATCCTGGAATAGGGAAATTCCTGAGACACGGATTTACATGTCTTTGTAAAGGCTAATATGACAAGTAATTTTCATGATTTAGGAAGTTGTCTAATCTAGAAAATTCTATTTTAAAAATATTAAATAAATTATTCTCTTCTAATACATAGCTTGAAACCTTACGATATAGAATTTTCTAAAGCCCATAAATGAAATGATTTTCTCAAGTATACAGTTTGCTGTGTTGTTCTTCCAACATTCTCTAATTACAACAGATCTTTTAAATCAGGTATTAACTGTCTTGTAACACTGAGTAGACTAAAGATTTGCTCAGTCAGAACAACTTGAAACCTTGGAGGGGAATAAGGGAGACTGGCAGGGGATGCTTATAAATTCAAGCCTGGATCGGAATTTTGTGCCTCTGACTATAGCTGGGAAAACTGAAATCCCAGCTCTGAACAGCCCTGAACTTTGGAGACTTGAGTTTTGGTATCTGACTCATGACTGGCCCTAGTATTATAACAGGCCGAACTAAAAATATGATTTCAAACATACCCAAACTTTGGAAGGCTGAAAATCAGGATCTGAATTTTGTGACAAGTTCTGATTAAGAAAAATTAAATCACATAAAAAAATTATTCTAGTACTTAATGATTATTTAACAATTCTTCTGAACAATTTAAATAAATGTTAAGTATTTTTTGCATATAACAGATATTATATAATTTAGAATGTTATTCCATAGTAATGTCTTTTCTAATTATGTTTAATCTGATCAGAATAAGATGACCAAATAACATATGCAAATGTGGTGGAACAGAAGTATGGAAGATTGATGAAGACAATAAAATATGCTTAAAGTATTTTAAAATTCTGCCAAGATGCCTATATTTTTATTTGCTGATACCTACACAGATAAATGACTCAAAGTTTCTAACAAAACTGGGTATGAAATCTACATTTCTATTGAAATTGATAATTTTTTTGTCTCCGAGTTTTGGCAGGGCGTATAAAAGAATTTAATTCACAGCTGTTCTACTTTTTTAATGTAGAAAACATTAATCAAAGCTTTAAGTTATAAGCTTTTCTAATGTTGTTTAGTATTCCAGTTCAACAAAGATCAATAGAGGCCATCCCTGTGTTTCTTGACGCCTCTCCAGGAAGCAGAGGCGCGATTATGTAAATAGCACTGGTTCCCCTTTACTTCTGCCAGCTTGCTTATCTCCAAAGCCTTCTGCCTGCTGCTACTGGCGACCAATACAAGTACATGCATATACCTCTTATCTCCTAACAAAGCTCTGAAAGCTCAAGGATTGGAGCCAGTAATGTTAAACAATGATGCATGGCTGATTTTATTTGTAAGTGATTTATTTCAGTAAATTTAATTTCTTCCTTCAATTTTTCAGTTTAGATGGAAGATATTTGTTAACAAGTCAGAATATAGGGAATAAAGCAGATGTGTTGAAACATTTATACAGGGTTGAAATAATCTATTTAACAATCCAAAAGAGTATCATGAAATAATTAGAAAGCGTACACCCAATCGGTACAAAGAAGGGATTAAGGAATTCATCAGGCACTGACTGTATACTTTTCCACAAGAGAGGAAAATTAATCCTTAGGGTGCTAGAAACCTACTCTTCAGAATTAATGTTTCCTTTTAAACCAATTTATCAAGGATAACTAAAATGACAAAGTAGCAACTGGTATCTTACTGACCTTAGAAGTTAACTTAAAATCTTGTTATGACGTAAAGAATACATTCACTGAGTTTTACATAGATTTCCATCTTTCAACAAGATTGATGAAATAATTGTTGAAATAGAGTTTAAAAATGAGATTCCAATCCAGGCATTAGTAGGAAGTTTGAAATTTGACCACACATATATCAAATATTAAAAGGAAAATGTTAGCATACTGTATTACTGTTATAATATTCTAACCGAACACTATCCTTACATTTCTTCTGCATTAATCCCTGACCCTGGTATCTCAGCAGCATAATCCCCATTTAGCATTAGTAGCAACGGCTTCTACTGTGAGGAACTATTTTTCGATAAGTAAGCACTGATTCAGGCATAGCTTTTGAACAACATATTCCCAGCTCAGCAAGAAACCCACACTCCTGAATGAACCAGAGCACATTACTGAGAGAAAGTTCATTAACCTTGCTAGATTCGGGGGTTAACAGGATAGCTGAAGAAAGGAACTGAGTGAATAGCTCTGATGCAAAACAAATTAAAATGAATGTCATCATTCCTTTTGATATTCATTAGTTGATTCAGAGGGAGAATGCTCTTCTTAAATTTGCAAGCATTTATCTACGAAAAACAGGTGTACATCTGCTGCTCAAGTGCTTCTTAGTGCTAAACAGAAGAATAACGTACAGAGACTCACCAGTTCCACTGAGAGAGTAGCTAGGAGAGGGAGAAAAGACCTGAGCTGCAAAATCCTCAAATGTCATTACTTCTTTGTGATTCTGGATTATTGCTTCAAGATATAGAGCTCTTTCCTCATAACTGCAATAATCAGGTTAAGGAAATGCACATGCAAAATTAAATGCTGTTACACAATGTCCTAGAATGCTAACAGTTCAATCCATACAAATACATGTAGAGAACTACATCACTGGTGTGAAAAATATGCCTTTCAAAATTTCTTTAAAATATTTAAGATTTCTAAACATAAGCACTGAACTGTAATAACACTGTACTTTTTGAAATTATTTATCATATCAATAATTTTTTTTAGCTTCAACACAAATATCATTCTTGAAAAAGGCATGGTTTAGTGACTGAATCCAAGGGATCTCTGAAGTTAGTGGGGATGAAAACAAAGACCCTAGAAGTATATTCCTGGGAAATAAAAATGTTACATTTTTAAGGTGAAAAACCATAATGACAACAGAAATGTAGTGCATGTTTAGCATGCTCCTAATGGATAATATTTGCATTACAATTATTCTTTTCATCCTACCAAAAATAATTGAAGTGGGAGTACAGGTTATAGGGAAAGGGAAAGAATAGATGCAACTGATTGTGCTACTTAAAAGAAGGAAGTATATAAGATTCCTCAGCGTGTAAAGTTTACGTTAAAGTTATACTGTAGAAGGTATCATCGGATGTACCAATAAATTATACATATTAATAAAAGAAGACCTTGCATGCAATACAGTCTACATAATACAGACAACAAAGCTAAACCAAGGTTATTGCCTTTTAATTAAAACTCGGCAACCTGGAACACGCAGCATTCAAATGTGTAATCAAAAACCAGTCACCAATAAAACTTACAAGCGTAACAAGCTGAAGCAACTTTCCAGCTGTCTTAATAGGACCCCTGCTTGCGGCAGCTTTCCACAGTGGAGAAAGCAAATCTTTTCCTTTTGTGTGCAGCTTCTGTTTTCTCAGAAGGTGAATCATGCATTTCCAATAACAGGATAACGTCTGAAACAAATCTACAATGGACTGAAGAATCTCACATATGACTTTATGAATTAACATTTGAAGAAGCCAGTATGACATCTCATTCCCCATTTCCTCATTTAAAAAAAAAAAAAAAAAGAGTTTTCAGATCTTCATTGCGTTTTTGTCATGTGGAAAAGCATGCTAATTCTACGAGATTGCATTAAGTAGGAGAAAGTGCCAATTCATAATTACCAAATTATGAGACGATGAAATAACACCAGTGACTCAATATAATGTAGGTGATTGGATTTTTTTAATTGAAAAGCCTACATTACTCATTAGAATTATTCCAAGGAGCACGTTTGTAGTTTCTGCTACATTAATATGATACTTTCAAAATGACTGAACATTCTTTTCAATTCAGAGTAAAATAATGGAGCATTAGATTTCTAGTGCTCCATCTCAGTGGGGATAATCAATGTGTTTATGTCTTAATCATATGCAAGTTACTGTAGTCACTAGGGTTAAATGACATTTTAGAAAGATTTTCATGCTAATAGAGACAGATACACATATGATAAATCCTTCTATAAACTCCCTTTGGGAAACTGAAGAAAGAAAATTAATACTTAGCATTTCAGAGATTGCACCTGCTGACAATTTTATTTACTTATTTTCTTTTAAAGCCCAGCAGAACACATTCCTGATAGCACAAGTATTAGGCTGAGTGTATTTGGGGCTGCTTCACTATTATAGGCTGAACTCCTGATGACTCTTGTTAATGAATAGGCTGCCAAACTTCCTAAGAGAGGAGGCACACGCCTAGACCCTATTCTAAAGGGACTGACTGATGCCATTCACATCTCATTATGAACATGCTTATTCTGCACAGCACTTGGCTGTTGCCAAGGCTCTGTATTCCATACTGCCACAGCAAGCCGCTGGTCCTGTTAACAGCAGGATGTTAGGCCTGAGTGGCCGTCTGGCGAACAGGCACTCTGACACTAAGCTGGCACGTGCTGGCGCAGCAGGAGCAGACCAAGGCGTGACAAATTACTGAAAGAGCTAAGCTAAACTTATGGCTGACAACCACCTGAGCCTTAGGACCTCTATGGGCCTGCCATCAACTCTCAATTCATTGCTCACCCTTTTAGTCTGCAGTATGCTTGTGGGCCAAGTTTAAACAAGGCAGATACACTATAAAGGCTTTTCATGCTATGCCTAATAATACCCTGCTGTTTAATGAAAGGCCTTGCACATCTAACACATAAGCATACAATGCAATAAACCATTGCTAACAAAACAGAAGTTCCTATGTATTTTGCTAAATATTGCATGGAAAGATAGCAAGATGGGGCCCTTCCTATGCTAATTCATAATAAAATGAATTATGAATATTCTTATTTAGGAGGCTGAAGATGTCCCTAATATAGAAAAAGGCAGAGGGACTATCTCCATTATCTTACAGTAACAACATAAAAAACACATGTAGGCAGGCTAAGGAAACATCCAGAGATCTACAAAGGTTTAACATGCTTGAAAGGCATAAAAGGAAGTTTTCATTTCAAAAAACCAAAACCAAACAATTTGCACTTGAATTTCTTGCGTGTGAAAGATTAAAAGCACTACCTGTAGCTCAATCCATGCACAGCGTGGGCAGGTTTTGTGAAAGTTCCCCCACACGACTGTTCTCATGCATTTTATTCTTGAATTTAACATATTTTTTATTCCAGTTTAAGACTGCCAAGAGGGCCAAGTTGCAGTTGTAGACAGAAATTCACTAGGGACTAGACAATGATCAAACTCATTTTCACTTGTAGCCTAAGCCAGGAAGTATTAAATGATTAAATGTAAATGAACTAAATTCACTGTTACCTATTTTAAAAGTGCAAAAATATTTGTAAAGGCAGTCTGAGAACAAAAAATGGTTTTATCAAGGTCACTTAAAATGATATCTTAGATGGGAGGTAAAAACCCTAATTATTTTAAGGGAGACTATAGAAGGATTATAAATTATAGTATATAGTATGGTATAGTAATATATAGAGCCCTTTGACAATAATATATTTTTTAAATAAAGGTAATCCTAACAAATATATAAATGGGCCATTTTCAAAGACATTTTCTCCAAATCTAAATATCTAAGCACATACACTGGGATTTTCAAAAAGGACCTAATGGAATCAGGTGTCCAAATCCCATTGAATTTAACAACAAATAGCATGACTTCATTATGAATGCCTGTTAATCACTCAGGCCAGGTCTACACAAGGAGAGCTTTGCTGGGAGAGCTATATTGGTATACACTATACTGGCAAAGTGCTCCTACTGTGGACACAGATTGTACTGGCAAAACTACACAGATTGACTACGTTTTTGCTGGCATAGCTTATTTCAGCCCTCCCCAGGAAAATAAGTCATGCTGGCAAAAGCACAGTTTTGCCACTATAACTGAGTCTACACTAGGGGGTTTTGCTGGCACAGCGTTGTCAGTCAGGGATCACATCTCCTCATACATCTGACTGGTAATGCTATGCAGCAAAAGTCCAAATGAGTATTTACCGAAGGAAAAAAGGAGAACGGAAGGACTTCCAGAGGATCATTTCAAGAACTTTTGTACGGCTACAGGTACTCTGGTGACTTACTACTGCTTAATTTATCAGCTGGAGTAAACTGTCATAGCTTGCTTGTCACAATCACATGCTTATCAGGGTTGTTTCTGTTGGTAAAGGGAACAATGTCAGGTGGAGCTGGAGGGAAGGGCAGAGTAGCTAGAAGACATGCTCCCCTCTCCGTCTGAAAGTTCCTCTGCAGATATGTTTTGGTTATGTGGGACTAGAAGGAGTGGAGACATGGAACAGTCATTCAGAAAGCTGGCACAGAAAAAAAATCAACAGGTCTACTTCACTAATAATGAAAGATCAGTTCAGAATGGGATACAACATGATGAGAAAAAAAGAATACTCTGAGAATAATAGGAGCGATGAAAAGCAGACAACAGCTATATGGATATAAACTGCAGCAACCTGAGACCTGAAGACAGAAAGTATTCCAAGACATGATACAAGTGGCAAATAAAGGAATCTAGGGAGAGACTTGAGTATCACAATGAAAAATGTGTTCACTTAACTCCACAGATTGGAAGGTTTATTATCTTCTGTCAACACCTGCCTGCAGGAATGGGCAATATTATTAAAGCTTTCAGACTATTTCCTTTAGGAAATAGTTGATATCAACAGCAGCTCATATTTATATATAGTGTGTTTCACCCCAAATGATTTCAAAGTGCCTTATGAACTCATACACACACATTTTTATACATATACTTTAAATAAACACATACATTTTATTTACATATATTACACACACACACACACACTATACACTCTTTGGGGGCAGGGACTGTATTTTTTGTTCTGTGTGTACAGCACCTAGCACAATGGCTCCTGGTCCATGACTAAGGTTACTTGGCAGCACGATAATACAAATAATAAATAGCTCTCTCTCTCACCCAGACAAAATGAGCATTAACTCCATTCCTCAACTCTAGATTGAACTGCTGCAACAGACAGAAACAGACTCCCAGATAGACATTTCTAAATTTGGACATTTAAAAACCAGGTCTTAACTTTCCGAAAGTCCTGAATGTTTGGTTTTAGTATTTGGATTAGGCTAGTTGTAGAGATCTTGGATGCAGACCCCACTCCGATATTATATATATATATATATAATGTGTATGCAAGAGCGGCACACAAAAAGAACTGTAAAATAGAAACATATACAGTAGAAAGAGCCGTTATTTACCTTATGGTAAGTGTGGTTTTTCAAGATGCCTGCACATGTGGATCCCACTCATGGTGTATGGGCACCCCAGCACAGTAGCTTGGAATCGTTTCACCAACAGTGTTCTGTAGGGGTCACACTTACACTCATTTCCTTGTGCTCCCCTACCGAAGGCATAAAAAGCATGACATCCCCAAAATATATAAGACTCTGAGGCCTGGTCTACACTAACCCCCCAAGTCGAAGTAAGGTACGCAACTTCAGCTACGTGAATAACGTAGCTGAAGTCGACATACCTTACTTCGAACTTACCGCGGTTCAGACACGGT